CTGCCACTGCTACTGCTGCTACTGCTACGGCTACTACTGATACTAATGCTAACACTATACTAGTATTTACAACGACATCGTCTACTACGGCGACAACTACTGCTAGTGCGACCACCACCGCTCCTATTGCGACTACGACTCCTGTTTCGATCTTTTACATGCACAACCCTTCGTACTGCTGCTGGTACGAAACTGCAGTAGCTCAAGCAACAACATTTCGAAGATTGATTGATCTCTCGCGACACAAAAGGGCAACGACAGAACCATACACGAAAGGCGATTCAACCCAGCAATGATGATGATGATTACTGCAACTGTCTAAAGCCGTGCTTACATAGTACGTACTGCGAGATGAGTACATGTAGAACCTGAGCTCCTGCAACGTGTAATGCGACTGCTTGGAAATCTGCACCCGAAAAAATCCAGAGCATTCCGAAGCTTTTCTCCTGGCGAGTAAACACTTGGGACAGCTGTTGGCTGTTGGCGCATTGCACCACTGCATGAAGCCTCTATGGGAATTTCCGGACTTCGGATCTGCGGTATACGAGCTACTGGTAACAGTAGTTGTAGAAACTTGGTTTAACATTGAAAGCAAAGGTTGAGGGTTGGGGTGCGCATGCAACGTTGCTGATAAGGGGGGCTTGGGCGGCCGGGTGCATGAGGTCCGGCTTTTCTGTTGCTTTTATCGTAACAACTTCGATGGCAATATTAATGCTATCACTTCTGATATTGCTTTTCCAAGTGATTTCGCCTGCTATCGCGGAAGACTCGCTTTGTGTCAAATGCCAACCTGACCTGGAGAAGCATGAAGCCCTCTTGCCAGGGCTCTATCGGGCACAAGGTTTGGAGGTACATGGTCCAGGGTTCTGTGCAGAACAGTACAAAAGATAAGGTTTCGGGCCAGTTGCGTAGTTCCCATAGTTGTAGTCGCTGGGGGCAGAAGCTAGGAGCCACTGAATTCCTACAAGTATGTGACAGAAGTCCGGAAATGCCCGATGGCTCCAAGAGCATGGAGGATTCGGCGTGTCAGGGCATGGTCCAGACCCGTGAAGAGTCGGGTTTACGGCTTACAACCTGAATCCTACACCATTCACCAAGCCAAGTTTTGCAGATGATCTTGCAATGGTGCAGGTTGTCGGCTTTATTGCTTGAACAACGAGTAGAGACTCTTTCCAAAACGACTCCTAGGTCGATTCGATCTTGAAACCGCTATCCGCTCCCAGCCGACACTCCCATGCACTGGATGTGCACAGGCGACTGTTGCCCACAGAAGCTGTTCGTGCGGCGTAAATCCTCGTCTCGAGTCGCTTCTCCAAGACCATCCCGATGCCCCGAATCCTTCTTGTTGCACAATCCGCCCAACCCCCCTTTGAGGGGAAGACCGGGGTACGACGCGGAAGCCCAGCGGACGCGATGTTGCCGGTAGCTCATGGACCTGTTAAAGGCGTTGCGCAGCAGCAAACCATCCAGTTACCCATAGGCTCCAAAGTAGTTCCTTTTTGTGGTTTCTATTTAGGATCCTATAAGGCAACCCCAAAAAGGAACTACTGTGGAGCCTATGGGCAATGTTAAGATATCCGAAGCCCCCCATTGCCGAGAGCGGCCCCCAAAACGAGATCGGCAAGTGTGGGCCTCCTCTCGATCCCGCAGAATCCGTTCCTGCCAAAGACGGCAGACGGGTTGCTCGAAACTACGTGACTGCACCCTTGGTTATTGTCCATTAATGTGAGTTTAAGATTTTAAGTGCAAGTCGGACAAAGGTAACTTAACTGCCTCACAAACCCAAACCATGTGGATGCATCCTGCGTAGGGGCGCATGGGGAAGAACTGCAATTCACATCTGCAAAGGGTGGGTCGGATCTACGGCTAAACCCTCCGCTCCACAGACAGAGACGCACCTCCACCCGGAGCTTTCGCGTCCAGCTGGTCCGCAAGCTCTTTCAGATCCGGAACCAGCCTTGTAATTTAGGCTGTCGAGATTCAATTCAATCCTAAACTTCAACCTTACACCTGATGAGCAGATGAGCACCTGCGTTCGCCCAAATGCTGTGGACGGCACCATTGCTGTTGCTACGACGTCGATTTGTTCATATTAGCAATCATGCTCCTCCATAGACGTTGCGAACTACAACTGTAATCGCTTTCTGTTGGTTATTCTCTTACTGCAGATATGCAGGCAGGGAGCAGGGCAATAATCCACTTGTACATGAGCACGATGGCGTGGTTCTTCCCGTCCTTGGCTGAAGGCTGGGTTGGGATCATCACTCCAGGATTTTGAAGCTCGTTGCTTTTTCTGCATCCCCGTGCCCAGTCGCATAGCCCGCATGTCCGCGATATCTTGGTCCGAAGCGACACGACACAAAAACAGAGCAGGAGCGCAGATTAACGTTTAATCTCGCTCTCTCGCTCTCTCTCTTTCTCTCTCTCTCTCTCTCTTCTTCCCCCCGGTCGTTAGGCCCCCCGTATGTTATGGGGCTTTGAGGAGCCGTGAGAAAAGGCGAGTACACATCGGTCCTCCTCGATGTCAAAATGACTGCATTATAAACGCGACGAACCCCGGATGCGTACAGACAGTACGTCTTTGGGACACCTAATCAGTTGCGTTTGGCAATCTATCTTTATCTTCTTCATCAGGGCATAGGGGGCTGTCAAACCCCCTGGCCTTTAGAGGCACCCCCAGTGTGTGGGGTTCTCTTTGAGGGAGTGTGAAAAAGAGGTTGTGTTCTAGCCCCTGTGACTAGGCTACCAAATGCCATATCTATCTCTCTCTCTCTCTCGTTTTCTCTCGCGACCGACCGACCGACCTGCCTAGCTCCTACCTACCAATGTACGCAGCTTTCTATCTATCGATGTATCTATGAATCTGTCTATCGACCGACCTACCTACCGATTCACCCATCCTATCGATCCGTCGACCCCAACTATCCGACTTTCAATCTACCTATCTATCTAGCCATCCATCGATCCATCTATCTATCGATTTATCTGTCTATCTATCAACCTCTAGATCTACCTCTCTATCTATCTATCTATCTATCAGTCTATCTATCTATCTATCTATCTACATATCTATCTATCTATCTATCTCGCTCTCCCTGTTTGTCTGCCTGCCTGCCTGCCTGCCTGCCTGCCTGTCTATCTGTCTAAACTGAGGGGGTCTAAGAGTCTAAGCTTACGCAGGCTTAAAGTCTATCCTAACCTAGGACGTAGTGCAATCCAACCTAGACAAGTCCAATCCAATCTGTCTTTACACCTGTGCATCTGTCCTTCTGACGTATCTGGCTCGTCTACCCATCTTTCTGCCTATCTATCTTCCATCACTTTATACCTGTCTACCTATCTTTCTGGCTATCTCGCTTCCTATCTGCCTAACGTATCCATGCATCCATGTACTTATTTACCTATCTTTCCGTCTGTCTGCCAATCAAGGTGTACCTTCGAGAGCGATTTAGGGCCTACAGTGGTTTGTGGGGCCTAGGGCGTAGGGTTTAGGAGTAGCAACGGTGTGAGTATGTACATGTCAACTGTTGAGAGTATTTAAGTGGATCATGTGGACCATGGACACGCCGAAAGCCCTAAACCAACAAGCAAGCCTGGCCGAGTGGCAGTGGACCCGAACCTTTCCGGCTCGAGGGATAAACATTCTTCAATGTCGGTTTCGGTTTGGCGGTTTCAAGCTCCCTTTGCAATTCTGTTGCCCAACAGGAATAGGGGTGGACCTCTTAACCCCAAACAGCAACCCCCCAAACGAAAGAATCGTTGTCACAACCCCTCCAGCCCACCCCCCTCGCACCCCAAAGGACTTCCGATGCGCAGGATTTCGGTTTCAGGGTGTGACATGTTAAGTAAGGTTGCAGAACTATATTTTGTACTATATTAGATCATACTATTTTCATTTAACTTACATGATATTTCAAAGATCAGCCAACCTGAAACCTTGCACGGGTCCTACAATCGGAACTCTAAATCACCTGAGTCTCTAGCCTGCCGAGGACAATACATCAGACCGCAAACCAAAAACCCTGTAGAAACCTCGGGGCCACAGAATACCTTCTCATACCCTGGGAGTTAGGATTAGGGGGACCCTCGGGGGATATAGAATAAGGTCCCCTTTCAGGGGTCTCCCCAAGAATACTACCTATACCCAAACGCTAAACCCTAAACCCCAAAACCCAAAACCCTAAACCCTAAAACCCTAAACCCTAAAACCCTAAACCCTAAACATCCCTAAACCCTAAAACCCTGAAACCCTAAACATCCCTAAACCCTAAACCTACCCATACCCTCTGGGCTGAGCCACAGCGATTGACAGGAGCTCAGGACCCGCTCGTAGCTCAGCGGCCTCTCCGATGATCCGAGCTTGGTGAAAGAGTGGTGTAGGGTTTAGGGTTTAGGGGTTTAGGGCCTTTAGGGTTTAGGGTTTAGGGTGGTCATCAGAGCAGTCGGTTAGGGATTATGAACTCAAACGAATCAAGGTGGAACATGCAGGGGAGAGGGGCAGTCAAAGATAGAGGGCGTACGCCAACTCTGCAGCTCATCTGCTTTCGCACTTTTTCGGTCTATGGCCGAGTGACTATAGTGTTTTACGCAGGGGTTCGGGAGATTCCAGAGTGTTCTGCTCTGGGTAGAGGAAGCTAGGCAAACGTCTCATGTCAAAGGAAGCCAGGAATCCTAAGCTTTCCGTTTCTTCCCGCACGATCGACTGCTCCTTGGGACAACCTGTATACTTGGAAGCTGCCGCTCTTAAGTCTGCTGATGCTATGTGTTATCGGCAAGGCGGTAACAGCAACAGCTGGGGTGACCATGGGTACCTTGCTACCGACACAGCTAGAGCAACAAAAAGCTGGACATATGACACGCCTCGTGATGAAAAAGACAGAATGGTCAAAATGGCACACAACGACGAAGGCTGGGAGACCACTTCCGCTGCTGGACAGCGACTACCACAACGACTACCACTGCTGTGGACACGATGTCCCACATCAAACAACTGCCTGGGGGGATCGCCCTCGAGCTCCGCGATGTCTGCATCCACCTGGTCACGATGCAGCCAAGACAAACAGGCAAAGAAACAAGCGTCGCGGCCTGACCTTATGCCATGTGAACTCTTTTATATGTGCAACCACTAATACCAGTACCTACAGTAGACAACCCGTTACACATAGGGTAAGTATGTCAGATTCTATACCATGGTACCTTACATGAGCCGCCATTTGGCTACTCGGCATGATTCACCAACTAGAACTGAACTTTGATATTACTGGCAACAGGTGAAGCAAGCAACCAAGCAACAGGTCAAATGATTAACTCATCAACTGATTGACCAAATGGATATCTGATCAAGCCAACAGGTGGCACCTTCTCCACGGTGAAAAACCTGAGACTCGCACATTTTCGAGTCTGAGGGGGTCTAGTACTAGGATTTCGGCAGTATCTGTCGTGGTTGTTTTTTTGAAGCAGGGCTCTACAGTGACTCGACAGCTATGCCTTCCCCTGCATACCTGAGCTCATGTCAAGACAGGAAGGCCGAAGAAGGATCGATGGGTTCCTACATTGGTCACCACAGTGAAGGCCGTAGAGCTGGGATGTAGGAGAGGAAGGTATCATGCCACTTGTCTCACTGAGCCTGGGCTTTAGGGTTGGGACACGTCGGTGCTAAACGTACAGCACGCCCAAACAATGCCCGGAAGGTCTTGAGGATGTGGGGATGGAAGGTAACATGACGGCTTAGGGCTTAGGCCTTACGGGCTTAATTAATGGTTTTTAGGATACAACGGACGAGCCTTTTCCTTGACATGGAGGGTGCGGATCCAGCAAAACCCAACGAGATGTACCCAATCCTGGTCCAAACTTTCCAAAGCCCGGAAGGCTGCCATCAAGCCCAAGTATTGTTTTCGCTTGAAAACGGAACCAAGCATGAACCCTGCATGGTGTGCCAAGAAGGGACCGCCGTGCTGCATAGCTGCCCCACAGCGGCCGAGTTTTCATCTCTTCCTCGATAGTTTTTTTTTAATGGCAGGCAGACCGAGCCGTACTATTTGCGGTTAGGAGTTATTCCGTGGCGTTCCCAGCGCGTCCATCGATTCTATAAGGGGAGCTTTGTATGGAGACGAAGCTGAACTTGGACTACCGTCTGTACAGGCAGGATTTTGTGAGTTTCATGTCTAGCCTCCATCTTGGGATGTCTGATTCATGGCTGTTTTTTCAGGCGTAAGCCATGTTCAACATCGGTGCTCTTTCGTGGCTCTGCGAATATCAGGAAACATACCAACAAGCCCCAAAGGGAGTAGAACCTCAGAGCAGTTGCAACAGACCTGGCTCGTGTTTAGACAGCTGTCAGACATGATCCCTGACAGTGTAAGACCAAGATGGTCGTACTGCGCCAGGCCGAGGATGCCTTTCAATACTGGGTTTAGGGGTTTGACGGTTTAGGGGTTTAGGGTTTAGGATTTTGAACCCTCTGTCATGGCTTAGGGTTTAGGGTTTAGGGGTTTCGGGTGTAGGGAACATAGAAGGAAAAGACCCTCACTTATGATCTAGTCTCTGTCGACTCACGGGCCCGCCTTCCTTGCCTTGAAGTTCATGACGCGCTGGCATGTGGAACCTCCGCACAGGACATGAAAGAAAGAATTGGCAAACACAAGTCTTCTGCACCAGGGACACGGTAGGGCCGGGTAGGAAGCCACTCAGGGGCCTTGATAGTTACAGCGAGCGAGAGAGAGAGAGAGAGAGAGAGAGAGAGAGAGAGAGAGAGAAAGAGGTAAAGACAGAAAGAACTAGAAAAGGCAAAGTGGAGGGAAACATGCAAAGAGATAGAGGGAGCGAGTAAGAGTGACCGAGATATTATCCCCGCCGAAGCAATGCATGTATGTGTGTGCGTATGCAGCCACATACACATACCCGAGCAACGTCTCATCGAGTGAATCATCCAACTGTGGTGGACCTATCTGTCTGTGCATTACAATGGCCCTTCCTGTGTGATCATAGGCTCGGGTGCACATGCGCTTTAGATTGCATATAGAGCGTGTAACAAACGAAACTGCTTTGATTCATTAGATAGTTAGTTCCTGTTGTTGGAGGTTTGGCTAAGTCGCGAGCCAGAAAACTGACAGCCACAGCTTCCCGTGGCCACAACAGAACCACGAACAAGCACGGTCGCAGGATGCGACAGCCCCCTTTTCCGGTGATCAATGACTGGCTGGAAAAAAAACATGGCTTTGTCCAGGCAACAGGCAGAGAAACAAATCCATGCACAGTGGCTTCGGAACAGTCTTTCCCATTCGCTCCACTAAGCACGTTGGGTGCAATGCCTTTTCGGGCTAGCGGCTACACGTGCCTGGCGAAACCTGAACCCACATCGTTGACCACCCCTCAGCCTTGTATTGTCAAGCCAAGCGGCTGTCTTTCAGCATGTCCTGTATTCCCGACCATTCGGGCGGCGTCAAGGCACTGATAGATGGCAGGCCCGAGGAGGGCAGCAAAAGCAAGTACCTGAAGAGGGGAAGAAGATTTTGGAGCTTCGGGTTCAGAGTTTGCTGCGATGTTCTGCAGCAGCATGCTGAGATTCTAGACGGAAGAATCCAATGCTTTGAAAGTTGTCCCATGCAAATTTCATCAATGGCCGGGCCTTCGCGGGCCGTCCATTAGACTTAGGTCTTGGGCCCAAAGTAAAAATATCCAGCCACGAACCGAAGCGGTTGTCAACAGGTCTGGCCACGGCGGTACCGCACACTCGTGGAGGACATGGGTGTTAGATTTTGTAAGACATCGGCCGAATGAATGAAGGGTTAGATGGATGGATAGATGGATGCATGGAGGGATGGATGGATGGATGGATCGAAAATCATTTCCTCGGACTGCTGTCCATCCTCAGGACTTCACTTCAAGCTACTGAACGCCCCTCCCTGCGTCCTGTGGCTTCGTGCTGTTATTGCCTGCCAGAGTTGGTGCCTTTAGTCCAACCGGGAAGACCGACGCCTCAAGACCTCGAAAGACAGCGGCCATAATGCAGCAAGCCCGAATGATCCAAACCACCCGACTCCGGCACATCACAAACTTTCAGCCCTACAGATGAAGCCCGAAGCCCGAACGGCTTAGCCTCTGAAGCTCTTTCATGTCTCCGACCTCAACTCACACTCCAAACACTTGGACCCGGATCCATATGTTACATAACAATCCACGAAAGCATGAGCAACAGTACGAACTCTGTTGGAAACAGGCCGACATGATCGCACATGCGCAGAACTCTGTGTGTCGCGAGGCCTGCTTTTTAGGATCCACACTACCACCCCACATCTTCTTAAAAACCCCAGACACTAAATCCTAAACCCCTCAAACCCCTAAACATTATAGACCCTATTCTACCTAACTCCTGACCCCGCCAAACCCTAAGAATAGACCTACCTATACTCCCCATTGTAGTTGCTTTTTTTGGTTTAACCAATTCTATATTAAGGATCCTAAGAGGTAGCCCCAAAAAGGAACTACAATGGAGACTATAGGTAGACTCTAGCTTCAAGCCGTCTCCGGGCGCTTGCTGCCAGGAGGCACCGCCTCTAAGACTCGACGGATTGGGTCCGGTACGACCTGAAGGTTTTTTTGGGGGGTTTAGGAGTTTAGGATTTTTTTGGGTTTAGGGGTTTAGGGGTTAGGGGTTAAGGGGTTTAGGGTTTTAGGGGGTTTAGGGTTTAGGGGTTGAAGGATCCAACATAAGAAAAGGCCCCCTCGTGCTGGACAAATTTCTCGGAAGAATGTAGGGCCCAGGTCGTCTTGCGGGGTAGACGGTGTAACCCGCATAACCCAATTCGTGAATTGCCCTGGCACTTGAGCGTAGCTAGACCCCATGACTCCACTCAGAACAACTGCGGCAAAGCAGCTGTGAGGGTTATAACATTCAAAGCCTTTAACATGTCTGTCTCTGTCTGTCTGTCTGCATGTATGTATGTATCACTTTTGCATATATACATACATATATATATACACATGTGTATATATATATATATATATGCATCGGTGTATGTATATGATGCAGCACATGCCCAAGCTGGGACCGAAGCACCGCGTCGGGCTGCAAACTACACGCCTGTACCCGCTGCATGAAGCCTTCTTGAATCCCGAGGGGCCGTGAGCGATTCGAGCTTCTTGAGATCGTAAGGGTCCATCTTCTTGATCTCGTCCTTGGCCGAACTGTTTGTCAGACTTCTGGACCTCTGGACCTGCTAAGTCATGTAGGGGCCTTAATGATTAGAATAGGGTTTTGGGCTCCCTTATACTTATACATTAAGCTTCTATATTACTACCAGAGTCGTATTGGCAATAGTACAATGCGGGACAATGGTGGTTTGGATGCCAGCGATTGCACGATGATATGATCGCGGCAGCATGTTGGCGTCGGCCCCAGACTGTTGAAAGGACAACAACCAGAGCCTTCCGAGCCTTCGGACATCTCGACTCCATGGTGCCGAAGTTTGCCGCAAGGTCCTCTTCAAAACAAAAGTCTCACCCGAGTGTCCTCGATGGCAAAGCCGTCGATGATCTCCAGCTCTGTCCGAATGTCGGGAGCCGCAATGGGTAGCTGGATATCTGCCTCGGTCATTCTACTGTAGCCGGTTCTTCGCACGCCAAATTTTTCTATGGGGTGCAGTTGTTTGGGAATCGCAGCTACCTGCGCACTGCGCTGCTGCGACACCGGTGACGGCTTACAGTACATGGGGCCTCTCGCAGCCTGCACCCGGAGGATCAATGCTTTCAGCAAGCGAGGTGGATGGGTCGCGACAATGGGCTTTGATGACAGCAAGCTTGTGAAGTCGCTGCTTGCCTCTCCAGCCTTTGTCGTTGGAACACTAGCCCAAACAACGACAGCCCACGACCCAAGTGCAAAAGCATTCGCAAACAGTCGGCTCTTAAAAACCCTCAACCGTAGGCCTCAAAAACTCCGACGGCTCTCAGCTGGGACCTCATCATTTTCAGGCCCTAGCCGGGTTTAGGGTTTTTCCACCCGCCCAGCTGACCAAGTCACACTTTTTTCCCTAAGGGTTTATAGGGTTAAGCGTTTCGACTCTCACTCTCCGCACGCAGCGGGCAAGGGTTTAAGGTTAGGGCTTCGGGTTTGGCCCTGCAGGCCCTAGACCTGCAAATCTCGAACTTCCAGGCCCGTAACATCACGTGAGCTCGCCGATGGTTCTTGCACTCGTTTTCAGGGATTGAGGTTGAACTTAAAGACTTAGGGCGGTTAGGCCTACGGCTGTGGCTTGGCTTAAGACTAGTTACCGGTATCTCAAGCCACTCGCAGCCCATTTCACAAAAGAGCTCGGCACCACGCTTTTACTATTGCTGCCAACCGATCTTTGTTGCCTTGAGAAAGATCTCGGGGCTTTAGTGGTACCCATAAGCCCCTAAGTAGTTCCTTTTTGGGATTACCTTATAGGATTCTAAATATGAACCATAAAAAGGTACTACTTAGGGGCCTATGGGTAGAGTCTGCTAATCAACACAAACTGCGGCTGCAGCGGCCACGGACCACTCCAGGGTCTTTGCACCGTCCGTGGTCTCAGCGATCTCCAGAGCGCCCTTGAAAGAGTTGGTGCCTGGACAGCCTATAGTTGGGTAGTTCTCTAAATGATGGTCCCCTTTTGGGGGTCCCCAAAATAGTACGGCACCCTTATAACAAGGAAGCCAAAAGGGACCCTAATTTTCGAAAACTACCCATTGATGCTCTCACAAATCGGACAAGCAAGGCGAGGATCCCATAGGCACAGGTCGGTGTGAGACTAGCCAGGAAATGCCCCTGCCCGCGACTATGCAAGGACCACCACGTTAAACAAAAAACCATTTAGGGAATCTGAGTCAGCATCTGGTGGTAACGGTTTAGGGTTTAGGGTTTGGGGTAAGTCTCCAAGTTGGGGGTTTCATTTGGACAAGTCTTGCCAGTTTGGGGATCGGTGTAAGTTTCTGCGTTGTCCGAATACAAAAGCGCAGATGGAGAAACGGGTAACGGCAAAGGCAAAAGCGCATGCGAAAGCCACGGCTAAGCCGGCTACAACATCGGAGCAGGCTTCATCACATACTGGCAATTCTGGTGCGGGTGATGTTGCTTCTTCTTCTTCCACTTTATCTGACAGTTCACGCATGTCGCTTCAGTTGCCGCACGGGTCTGGGGCAAACAGCCGGGGTGTTGCTGGCAAAAGGCTGGTGGTGGTGGAGGATGCAAGCAGCGGGGGGGTCAGGGTCTACAATTGACGACCTTCTGGAAGGAACTCCTGCTTCGAAGGCTATCGCTGGAGCTGGAGAGGACTGTTGCTCGAGTGGATGGGGACCGTGACGGTGCACAAGGTGTGGGTTTGCTTGATTCTGGGGCTTCACATCCTTTGAAATCCTTGCGTCCGGGGGGACCGTTACCATCAAGAAGGGTGGCTGTGGCTTTAGCTTTGGGCAAACAGGAAATGATGCTTACGGAGGGGGGTGCTTTAGCTACAAGCGAGCAGGTGGATCCTGTAGTTCCGATTGGCAAAGCTAACGAATTGGTCGGTCTTCAGGTTCGTTGGCGCAAAGGGAAGTGTACGGCTGCATACCCCTCGTGAAGCAAGGGGCGGATCACTCAGTGATCACTTGGGCTCCAAGGGGGCATCGGAGCATGGATATGGTTTAGGTTTGGGTGGTCTTCAGTTACCCCGATTTCTCCTGAACAAGGGTGCTCTGCTTCAAAGCACCTCTGAGTTTGTGAGGGCCACAAAGGCTCTCGGAAAGGGTCACTGGTCTCTTTCCAGCCTGTGTCGAAAATCCACTCGATGAACTCGGTGAACTGAACATGCCCATCCTCGTTGATATCCATTCCTCAAGACATCCCGAGACACATGCGGCAATGCCGACAGCAAGGCCAAACTGCAGAAAAACGCGTTCTTTGCGGGGTTACTCTGTAGCTACTTCTACAGCGGCTCACCGTTTCACGTGCTCGTTCTCAGATTGCGGGTGGTCAGATTTGAAGGGGACGATGCGAGAGCCCCCCACGATCCCAGTAAGATTACTTTCGTGAACCCAATACGCAGAGCGGCTACAAGTCGAGGTGTGTCCGGCAGAATAGTCCAATGGAGCTGCGCCACAAAGGCTGAACCAGCTGGTTGCGGCTTTAGTACATCCATCTCGACCCTGGGTTCATAGACCTCCATCTCACTTCTTCGCTGAAGTAATCTGGGGTCGCCGGGACACTCGTTAAGGCGCACGGCTTCCGTTTTCACTTTTGCAGAGAAAGCATTCTAGCTGCAGGCTTCATGGAATTTCGGGATTCTGGGATGCACATTTGGAGGGTATCATGTCTTGCAGGGGTCAGAGTTGCGATGCCACACACCCTAGATCAAACTGCTCACATTTTATGCCCTTGTTGCATGCAGCTGCACCGGCTGAAGTTACATTTTTGCGATAAAGGCTCCATCGAAAAGTCGCTTGATGGCGTTCGAAGACCACTGGCCTCAAACAAAACGCTGGGCATTCCAACACCTTCCCTCTTCCAGGAACCTGCAGTCTTCATGATGAAATCTCGTGTGACAAATCCAAGGCTTAACTGAATCCAGAACTATAGGGGAGGTTCATCGAAACGATTGGACGAAAGTCTAAATCTACCACGGGCGGCGGGCACCACGACGTTGAGTTTTTTTGACAGAGCATGACAGAGCAGTTCAGACTTTCCGTTTCAAACATGAGCCCTTCTGCTCAAATCGCTGCTAGTAGCAGCAGCAGCGCTTGTAGCAGCGAGTGCTACCACTCAGAACCACGTACTTCTAGTGCTGCAGCTGCTGCTGCTCATCTGCAGCTGCTGCTATGCTGCTACTGCTGCTACTACTACGACGACGACTACTACTACTACTACTACTGCTACTGCTACTGCTACTACTACTACTACTACTACTACTACTACTCCTGCTGCTGCTGCTACTGTGCTGCCGCTGCTGC